AAAGATGTCGATGGACCACACTATATTATGGTGGAATAGACAGACACTGGTGATGCTGAGCGAGATGAGTGCTCATGGTCCTCCTAATGGAGAGGAAAATAGTAACTTGCCAGTGCTGCAACGTGCCCGGAGCCAAGGAATATTGATCAGATTGGTTGGGGCTCTTAGATGCTGACAGATAAAAGATGCCAGGTAGTCCTGGGTGATCATGGTAATAAGATCGCTTCGACACAGAAGGCTCCCTAGCAGAGACATCCTGCAGGAGCAGCGCTGCTGGACCAGGAAGAGCAACTGGCCAATAGTGTTTGACAGGCTTCTCCATTAGGTGCAGCCTAGCAGAGACATCCTGCAGGAGCAGCGCCGCCGGACCAGGAAGAACAACTGGCCAATAGTGTTTGGCAGGCTTCTCAGTTAGGTGCAGATCAGAGCAAACGGCATCCCGATGATGGTGATCCCATTAGGTGCAGATCAGGGCAAACGGCATCCCGATGATGGTGATGTCTTTCCCTGTGAGAAGGCAAGCGGACGCTCATATCGGCTTGATGCCTTTGTTGATGTGTCAGAGGCCGAGGTGGTAGGCCTACACGGGCAGAGTAAGGCACAGTTTCTGGTTGTGTTTAGTGCCATGGATGTCTGACGAGGCAATTTGTGAAGACTCACTCAGAGAGCCCGAGGATTGCTGCAGTCTATCAGGGGAAGCCGTGAGTCGATCAACACGCTGTTCCCATTTGGGAGACTGCAATGGTGAGGCTGGTGAGGTGGAAGTGCCTCCTCATCTGAAAGAGAACCATTTCTAGACTCGGTGGAAGTGCCTCATCATCTGAAAGAGAACCGTTTCTAGACTCCAGTGGTTGTGGAATTGGGGAAACAGTTTTGGAAGGCTTCGATTTCGAAGACTTAGCCTTCTTTGAGGTGACGGTTCTGGTGCTGAGGAAGTGTCTATGGATGGTTTTCTTTTTGATGTTTTTGGCTGTTTTCGATGTTGAGGGTTTCACCGTCAAATGTTTGGCTTTGTGCACTCACATGACTGTCGATATTGAGGGCAGAATAGGTTATAGATTGGAAGGAGATGGAATAGCTGACGGGCGCTGTTTTGTTGCTTCAGAAACAGCTTCATCCATGGCTTTAGGGTTTGTTCCCAGGGCCGAAGCTTGAGTCTAGAGAGGCGACTCACTGCATTTAAAGTTTTTACAGTGAGGGGATGAGGAAGTTTGATGGCCTCACCAAGGCAAAAAAAGACATTTAGGGAGGCTGTCAGAGAGCGGGATCTTGTTATCACAGGCTACACAGCTTTTAAATGGGCCTGAAAAGGCTATGAACCGAGAAGCAAGAGAACCAATTTTGAAAAGAAAACAACAGAAAGGTTGGGGGCGGGGGAACGACTGTTTGGCCCTAAGGCGTATCTTGTTTTGGAAAAAAAGGATAATAATAATAAATAAAGTTCAATAACTTTCCTACTTTCGTTTTCAAATTTCTCACAGAAGCAATGATCGAGGCTCTCAATGCGGCGGTTGAAAGAAACTGAAAGGAGAGCCTTGGCGCCAAGGTACATGTACCAGGGGGAGGGGTCTATGCTAATGTATTCTCCTTTGCAACTGCAGAAGCTCTAGAATATTCCAACGAGGCTCCGTGCATGAGCGGATTACCCATAGTGTGATTCACCATGTGCAGCTGGCATGTTTTCTTGCTTTTACAGAGTTATCACTTGAGGACAAAACAAGACAAGATGCTTTGCTTGCACTTAAAAGCAGATAGTTGTCTTATAGGCACAGGATTCCCTCAGAGACCCATGGCTAAGAAAATAAAACTAATTTGTAAAAAGTGGACGTAAGAAAAATATGCTGGGCATACAAACATCTTTTACCCACCTTTGAATACAATGAGAGCATTTCCTCTAGCTTGACCCTTAGACATGTACATATAAGCTACTTTACCACTGCTGCACTGCACATCATCATCACAGTCTTGACTGTTAGCTATGAGATGAAGAGGCAGGCACTGAGATCCATGCTTAATGATAGAAATTTAAAGGCCAATATCCTGCTGCATTTTACAGTGTGCATAAGAGCAATAATGCAAACAGTTTTCACTTTCTTCAGGTGGTCATTCAAACAACCAGGCACATGATCAATTGCGAAATTAGGACATGGCAGTGTGTGTGATTGTTAGCACACTCGGCTTGTGTGGCTGCCCTTTACAAGCTGCAGAAAACATTGACAGTTTCAGTAACATTGTTTATAATATTATGTGTGCAAACTTAGCTCCTTCAGAACCAAAGGGGTTGCCTAATTTACCACCCTTTCATGAAAAAAAGTAAGTATAATGTATATTATATTGAATAAAAATATTCAGTACAATGAGTAAGGATTGTTTGTTACACTAAATTTGGAAACATTTCATCGCTGCTGCTAAGTGAGACATCAGCCCCACATTTGTTAAAATGAAAGTAATACATAATAGGTACTGTATTATTGTTATGTCTAAGCTCTGACTTCAAGGATCAGCTGGAGACCACCCAAAATATTTGCTGGAGAGAAAGAATGATGTCTAATCTAATAAGGCCAAAGGTGAACATACATTTAAAACTGCATAAAT